AAATTTGAAAAACAATACAATTAAGATCTGTCAATCAACCATATCAACCAATCGGAATTTCGCGTTGTGTGGACAACGCGTATTTCGTTTCTTGATGTGTTGTCTGCAGTCCCTCCTTTTCTTATAACGAGGGACTGCTCGCAGTCTAACTAAACAATGAAACAGGTCACACATATTGACATATAACCTGAGAGAAACTGATTTAGCCGAAGAACGAATTTGGCTAACGGTGCTTCGGCTACAATGGTACTGTACTTTGGAATAATCTTCCTTTTGAGGAAAAAACCACTGCAAACTTCTTTAAAACGATTCTGAAACAAACGATGAGTCGAAGCTCGTATATTTCTATCTTTTGTTTTCTTGTTGTGTCATGTGGAGAGTACTCTTGTGATCATGTTTTGTATTGTAAATATTCACTCATTTACAGGCCCCTTATATGAGAAACGAGCCTGCAGCTTGGCTAAATGACATCTTACCTTGCGCTATAGGTGGGATCTCAGTCAAATGGATAATGTTGTCCATATTATGGAGTACATTCATTACTCATTAACGGGTTTGTTTCATTGGCTTTTTACAGTAGAGGACAACGTACATGATCAGTATGCGCGAACATACAGAAATGGCGCGGAAAATGTCTGCCAGAATAATAGGAGTAAATAGGGGAGAACGGCTGAGGTTATATAAGGTTGAGAATTTCACCGCTTTTTCCTTGTGTCACGACGAAGTTATACTGAGTGAGTTTTCACTCTCGTAATTTTTTTTAGACTTTTGCTAGAGCTTCGTAAAGGCAATAGAGACTTTCAAATTTTCCCTTCGTTGTTAAACAGCTAAGCGCAAACCGCGGCTTGTCGTCAGTCATCTGCAGTTTGCTGTATATTTCAGATTTAGTTTTCGACACTTCGTAACTTTTTAAACAATTGAAAATATAGAAGCAATGGCAGATTTATGTTTTCAAATCATTTTGCAAGTTTTGTAGGATAACCCAACTGCAAGCTCCGGCAAATAGGCAGGGGAGTTATTGTACAGTGAATCAGTTTATCGACTAGCGACCACAACAGTTGATAGCATAAATAAAACAGCAACTACTACTATTTAATATTTTAACGGAGAAAATGTAACAAAAACTGAAAAACAGTACCGTAAACGCTGGTCAGACAAGTATTACTAAAGTCAAAATGTAACTACACTACATGTAGCTACAGTGACAGTTACGTCATAAGCCAAAGTACTTGCCATCTGTAAAAGTTTCAACCTTCTAACAGTCTTTAAAATCAACATACAGCATAGCAAATTTGACTGTCCGGAAACTACCGACGCCGTATATTTGCAATTTTGAACTTTCGCTTAATATTTTCGCTTGGTATATTAATTTGATATTTTTCTTCTATAACCAAAACAGATTCTCTGGTATTCGTTAATTTCCAATTTTAACGTAAATCCAATTCAGAAAAATTAATAAATTATATATTATATGTACTGCTCCTTGATTTCAGCGTTACATTTTCGCATAATAAATCAGGTTTGTCGTCCAGCTATATTTTGCGCTCGTCGCTATTTGGCAATTTGTGACCACCCCAATTTAAGATTCAAGATTGGAGAAAGGCAAAACCAATAGTCGCCTGGGCCACAGCGACTAACTAGCTAGTTACCGTATGTTACAGTTAAAAACTTAAAAACTTAAAAGTATTTGTAATTTTGTTACCGGTGCACTTTGTTGTTGAAAACAGAGCCTGGACGACTATATACAGTAGTCTCTCTGTAAAATCAAGCTCTAATATCCTTAGTATATAATACCTGCAAAAGACGCATGTCCTGATGGGAAGGAAAGTCTTGCTTCCTTTATAAGATCTTCATCTCCAGTGCATTCATAATCTGTTATAAAGTTCTTTTGAAATCCCGTTGTACAGTTGAGTTTGGAGAAATCAGGTTTACAAACTGCAAGGAAATGTGGCCGCAGTCTTCCAATCGAGTATTTTCCAACATCAGTAAGGACAACAGTTGCTGCGGCACCAACCAGAAAACACGTGTACACAGCACATAGCCAGCGAAACCTACAAAACAGTTCAATTATATCAAATACGAGCCTACTCACAATGGACCCGCTTACCCAGAGGTCTTGCCTATACACACGTAAAAACGCGCAAGTTTTTACAGATCTGCAAACAAGTTGGAACAAGATTGTTGTCAGGCCGATATCAGGACGTGTCCACGTTGCTTGTTCGCAGTTGTTGTGACAAGTATGGAACATGTCATTATCGTCTTGTTACAAGGTTGATGACGGTAACAGACTTGCTACAAGTTGTTCCAACAAGACTAATACAAGCTGTTCGTAACAAGTTGCTACATGTATGCGTACGAGCTTGTTGTCGTCAGCTTGTTAGCAACTTGTTACATGCAGGTGATATCAGACTTGCTGCAACAACTTGTTGCGAGTCTTTCAGCCTCATCAACCTTGTTACAAGATGATAACAACTTGTTGCAGACTTGGTAAAAACTGGGAAAAAGCAGTGGGAACAAATCTTTTTGACAAGCTGTGAGATCATTACGTGTTTAGATGGGATCTTATCCCCTACTATGCAGGATATCTCTGTCAAGTAGAATAAAACTTTCCATGGGATTGCTTCATCCCACCTGAATAGATATAAGGTGGACATTTTTCCCGATTTTGACCTAAAATAGTATTGAGCGGCGTAGTTAGGAAATATAAACATGAAAAACATAAACATTAATAGACCTCAGCAAACCAGGGTGTCCACCCTTTGGTGAAGGTAAAATTCAAGTATTTTTCCAGGACTTTCAAGGCCCTAGAACCTCTTGTCAGTAAATTCAAGGACCTTTTTTAATACCTTCAGTAAAGTCAAGGGAAAAATCTGAAAATGGCACGGATTTGCCGTAAATAATTCACTTTATTCAATATTATTATATAATATTATTTAAAGATTTGTCAAAAGACAGGTGTGAAATGCAATAGGACATTGGAATCCCTTACAAAGCATTAAACACCCACATACAATATACATATTTACACAATAAAGATGAACAAGTACAAACAGTAATTTTAATCAAAATCACTGTGGGTATAGCTGGAGGTTAAGGATTAATATTCCAGGATTTTCAAGGACTTCTACTGATTTTCAAGGACTTTCCAGTCCCGGAATTTTTTCCTCCAATTCAAGGACTTTCCAGGATTTTCAAAGCCTGTGGACACCCTGGCAAACACCTTAACAGTCGACTATTACAACACACACATGAACACAGAAATAATTCAGGTAAGCATCCGGCCAAATGTACCAAGAGCACTGCGCGGAACCAGGTGTACTACAGTACAATGGACCTTTCCCCTTATAACTAAAATTTCGATTTGGACAAAAATTTCATCACAGCTTGAAAGAGCATCACAAAATTAGTAATATTCCAAAGTTTTGTTGCAAAATCTTGTAAAATGCGGATAATATAGCCTTGCGAAGTTTGCCGTTTTTCAGTCATTTTGTATTACAAATGGGAAATTGACATACGATTCGGGTGTTGGGGCTGCAATTTCCCGTTTGTAATGCAAAATGACTGAAAATTGCAAACTTCGCAAGGCTCTATTTTCCTCATTTTACAACATTTCGCAACGAAACTTTGGAATATTACTAATTTTGTGATGCTCTTTCAAGCTGTGATGAAATATTTGTCTAGACTTGCCTAGATCAAAATTTTGGTTATAAGGGGAAAGGTCAATTAATGAAATAAATGTACTCCTCTCAACCAATCAGCATACAGTAATTTTGTCATGCTAATAATAAAGGGTTATTAACCGAGAGCGAGGTCTGTACGGGAAAGTATTTGCCTGAGGTTTTCGTACAGACCGAGCTACGAAGGAGCGAGGTCTGTGCGGATAAACTGAAGGCAAATACTTTCCCGTACAGACCGAGCAGAACGAGGTTAATAAACCGTTTATTATATGGCTCCTGAAACACATTTTCTGATTTTCATATATTTGTTTTCATATAATATATATTTGAGCTATGTTTTATTTGCTAGTTTTCTACATTTAGATTTGGTTTCGTCACCGAATATTATTTACGGAAAAGCATGTTTAACAATCGCTTTAATAGAACTACTTTACTTTTTCGGTAACCCCCACCCCCAGAAAAAATGCTTATAAACCCAGTTTATATGATATTTGTTTAGAATATGGTATTAAAGACGTTAAATTCATCTTTATTTATTTTTTGAAACAAGTATTGAAACAAATCAAAAAATGTTCCCGCCAAAACTTAAGGTTGCCAGTAAGGACAGTAAGAGTTCAAACAGCTTGTTTTCTTAGCTTTTTCGATGAAATTTGTGTTTGGTACAAGTACTTAGCCCTATTAATATTTCCAAGACTTCTTATTCTTAAAAATGATCCAAGGATATTTTTCTTCACATAACGACCTTATAAACGTGCAAAAACGTTTCAAATTCGAGCCTGTCAAATTGACATACGGGAAACCGGTCCGGATACGGGAAAATACGGACCACGGTCCGGATACGCATTTTACGGACCGCATGTCGACCAATCAAAATCCAGGATTCTGCAAAGCTTGCAGAATCCACGATTCTGATTGGTCGACGTCATTTGCTTCAAATTTTTCTAATATGTGAGGGGAAAACTAGACCTGATGGCAGGTGAATTTTAATCCGGGCAACCAATTGTCATGTCTAACTTGCCCTAATCACAAGTGGTAAAAATAATTGAGACTGTGAGGTAATCAAGCATCCAGGAAAATATTAATGAACAATGCTGCCCACAAAAAGTAACGCTTGAAACTACAATACAGTAAGTGATTTTTCAAATGACTGCATGCTTCCAGCCCACAAATGTTGAAACCGTTGATGGTGAAACTCATCATTTATGGTCGACACATCAATTACCTCTTGAGATTGCAAGCACCTCAAGTTGAATGATTTTGTCACATGTCAGATTAAATCAGAACGTAGACTGCATGCAGTCTCCTGACATCGGTTAAATGATTGTTTAACTGTATGTTTACATGCTGCGATTTCTTGTGTACAATTTGTATTCTGGTGCACATACTAATCGAATAAGGCACATAAAATAAAATAATTGCATTCCAAATTTTGCCATAAACTACTACTAATGCAGAGAAATTGTGGCATCAGCAGTAATTTTCATACCCCCAGAATACAAATCATACATGACAAATTATTATTTTTATCATAACTTTATTGTAAAATTCTAGCCTCTTTTATAGTTTATGCAGTTGAATGAATAATGAAATCTATGATGCAATCATGTGTATTTGAGTAGTGCTGATACCCTGTATGCAGTCAGAGCATGTGAGGCTCTTGTAATCTGGGAATGAGTTGATGATATGTTCGACCATAAATGAGTTTGATCATGTACAGTATGGTTTCTAAATTTGCTCCAGTACCCCTGAACTGGGGGCTCATTATATTTACATGCCTCCAATATGCGAATTATCGCACCCTGGGCTGGTGTGTATGTTAGCTGTTGCATGTGACTCGATACTTGTTTATCCAAAACACACTAAATTATGGGTAAATCTTGAAAAAAGAAAGCTTAGATAGATAGATAGATAGATAGAAAAACTTTATTTACCCACGCTAACCCTGTCAACCGAAGCTGATTTCCACAGGGGGCTTTGGATTGATAGAGATACAATTACCTGAACAATAGTGTACAATACTAGCAGAACTTCAACGTCTCAAGCGAAGGCCCTTCGTTGCGAAGTTCTCCTTGTATTTTTCAGGTTGGTGAATCGCTATCAATCTGAAGCTTTCTAAAATTATGAGTATATGACAAATGATTTCAAGGCCATTTTTACCATTACTCACTAAATCACAGTCCACTGTACAGCACATTTTTCCCAAGCAGGGGCAAATTTCCTACAAAATAGTGTGCTGTAGGGGGTATTAATTACTAGTAATTAGGCAATATTTTCATTTCCGCTCTTATACAGACAATGTTAATTATTGATGTTACAGACTTTTAATCAGTACATAGCAACAAAAATATTAAAATTGATTCTTTTAGTTTTATTGATCTATGTACTATATAAAATGAGTTCTTCCTATTAAATATATACATATCCATACACAGCAGAGTGAAAAATATTTAATGATTTATACGAAATATATATTTATTGTTTACAAATATTACGAAATATAAATACGGAAATTCCCATCCTGGCAGCCTATTGCGGTATTATAAAATATATCTTACCAATGTGATTTATAGAAGGGTTTCGATTCGTCTTTTCTCACTTCGCGAAATTTTGGCCATTCAATAAGTGCGATAGCGAATACAGGAATCAATACGCCTACAACACCAGCGATTGAGGAAGGCACTGTCGAATCCTTGAAAGGTTTACTGATGCTTTCATCGTCACAAAAGAAGCCTCGGTGATACGGCTTACCAACCCCTTGAAACAGAAATACGGTGATCAACAATGAAGCTAGACAAAAGAAATTGAATATTACCGCTTTTGGTAACTTTATAGCCATTGTGGCAGTTTAATTATCCATTGAAGGTGAAAAGTTGATGAAGGAAATAGAATGTTTGCCCAAGGGATGTTTATGTATCTTCCTATAGCCTGCGAGCAGGCGGTAACACCCTTCGCGGAACGGAAAGTGTTCGGGTCACTGGTTCCATAGTCCAGTTCTGGCCCCTGACCGCGCTCCTCCCACGCAGAGAAGGGTCTAGGCCAGGGCGCTTATATATAGGGCGGCGTAACCTGAAGTTCAGGCCCTAATCACAGAATAGGGCCTGACACAACACCTATCTAAACTGTGGGATTCCCGTCCATCTGGTGGACGGGAAATCTGATTGGTTGATCAGCATCATGAAGGGTTTTGATTGGTTGCAAGTTTAGATAAACAACAGTTTTAAAAATAGCTCGGTCAAGGCGACAATAGGGGGATTCAAGGTTTCCGACGCCATTGGCTCAGGGGGTGCAAACCATAGATATAGGAGATCTAGATTGCTAACGCATACCTAGCGGCCCGGCAGGCGGAGCCTACATGATAAATCCAAGATGGCGGTACAAGGGGGCAAAAAGACTACAGATTCTATTACGAAAATCAAGATTTTTGCATTTTTTGCCGTCGCATTGTTTTGAAACTTATTCGGTCAAATTTTATGGTAAAGAGAAACTTACCGCGAAGATTTTGAGCTTATTTATGATTGAATTGGATGAAAACTCGCAAAATTATCCAGCGATAAAAGTTCGTGTATAGTACTGATATAGTACTATATATGTAACTTGTACAGTTTTGCTTTAATTTTTGCTCACTATTTGCATAGAAAGTAAATTATAACAGACCATAGATGATAGACCCTTATCCAGTGCTCTCATCAGTTTACTTCTCTAACAAGCAAGGAGGGGGGGGGGGGTACATAACAGTGAATTTTTCATAATTATGAGGACAGAGCAGATGATGATGAAAGACGCAAGTATAAAACACCATTCACAAGACTAGATGTTAACATAGTACAGTATTTCTGGCAATAAAACGCTCCAACTGACCATTTCACACGAACTTTTATCGCTGGATAATTTTACGAGTTTTCATCCAATTCAATCATATATATGCTCAAAATCTTCGCGGTACGTTTCTCTTTACCATAAAATTTGACCGAATAAGTTTCAAAACAATGCGACGGCAAAAAATGCAAAAATCTTGATTTTCGTAATAGAATCTATAGTCTTTTTGCCTTCTTGTACCGCCATCTTGGATTTATCATGTAGGCCCCGCCTGCGCTAGGTATGCGTTAGCAATCTAGATCTCCAATATCTATGGTGCAAACCTCACTGGTGCAAACACATTGGGGCGAGCGCGCGGCCAGCGCCATTTCCCATACTATTTTATATTAGGAGTGGGAAAATTACGTTTGCACAATTTGTTGAATTTCTGCAAAAATATTAAAGAATCGTTCAATTTTACAATCAAAGACCACCGAATCAAAGACATGGAAGTGTTAAAATATGGCGAGTTCGTTGGGACGTTTTGCGACCTGTTTATTATAGTTTAGTATTGTTTACATGTCAGCGTGTATATGAAAACATTTGGTTGCTTCGAGATTTAACGCCAGAAATGGATGAAATTTTCGCTGAACATAAATATTTATCATACAGGAAACCACATGGAGTGCGAACATGTAATTTGATATCTCGTGCGCGTCAAAACATGTTATGACTTATGTGTTTATATCAGTGGTGTCGCATTGCAGTTGATACTGATAGCTTCGCTTCGCGATTTACAACTAGAGAACGCCGTTGATTACGTTTTTGTGAGTTTAACTATTCTGCGGGCTGCGGGCCGAAAAATGCGGGCTGCGGGCCGAAAAATGCGGGCTGCGGGCCGTAAAATGCTAACACGATTGCGAGCCGCGGGTATAGTTGCGGGCATGACGAATTTTTAAAAAAATATTGTCAAAATAGTTACAAAACTGACCGCTTTAAACATTCCTTTTTACCCGAAATGATTTCTAAAGAAAATAGTAGGATATAATTTTAATGTCAATCGTAATTTAAGTGTTTAGTCTTATATTATTCTTATATGTAATATACTAATATAATAGATTTTAGCTATATACAGAAGATCTTATGTAATTTAACCTTTGGTTACAAAATAAGTTCATTTCTTATTAAATTAATAATCAATGCTATTCGTAATCATATGCATAAGAATTTTTCCTTAAATTCGTTCGTTTTGTAATATCATGGAATCTCAGTTTATGAGTCGTACCAGGTCGACATTAAAGCCTGTTTCTACCGGGATAACTGTACACCAATCCTAATCAAATTTTCTCGAAACACTGGAAAGCCCAACACTGTACACCAATCCTAATCAAATTTTCTCGGAACACACAAAACCATGAAATCATGTCGCATGAAGTCCGTATAAAAAGTGAGTTGGACATTTTTGCATATGGTTCCGAATTCTTTCAGTCTTGTGTGACGTCATCAAAAAAGCTGCCAAATATATCTTTGTGTGAAATAAGTTTGAAATAACAAGGAAACCATGCAAAATGCCATTTTTAATCGTAAAGTAAAATCATATAAATAAATAAAAACTTGGTAACAAGCAGTCGGCATTCTTACTGTAAGTATATACATAGACAGAAACAATCAACACATACAGAAAATTACATCTCAACTACAGTCACAATCACGTTCCTATCCAGGGAAATAGTCCGAAGATTTAACTGTTTTCTTTATTTGGAAGGTATTACATGAAGTACACTAGAGGAACTCAGATTCAAAGTAGGCCAAAAACCAGTGAAATATGACTATACTGTTTATTGCATGAACGGCCACAATTTGACACCGTAACGGTTATTTCCTACTTTCTTGTGCAGAATAATGGTAAGAATAAGTTTGTGAACGGGGCCAAGGTAAAATAGAAACATATGTGTGAGCGAAATAGGGAGATAGAACTTTTATGTGCATCTACTGTAATACAAGGCAAACATGGACACGTGGTTATTGGGCAAAGTGCAATAAACAACACAGTTTGTTCCCGTTAGTTCATATATACTCTAGTTCTTGCTGTTGTTACCTAATGTTTAATATTTAGAACTGTTTCTAGTCACAATATTAAGTGCTGTATTTTAAGTTCACTTATAATCGAATTAACGCAGCTTCAAGATTGGCGCCACGACAGTTAGGCTTACCAAATATCATGGCCAGAAATCACGGACAGTCAGCGGTTTTCATTGTGGGCGCAGAAACTGTTCCCACGCGCAAACAAACTTTATAAATACATTCGACAATGTCTTTTTACAAAGATTTAAATATATTAATTTGATCCATGGATAGATGATTATATAAGTTAAAAACTGTAGGAATGAATTTCTTAATCGCTCGCAATGGCAGGAATTTCAGGTTTTATTTTGCCTCAAAACAGACAATTTGAAAGTGTTGGGGCCGCTTAGCTAAAATCATTGGTGTTTTAAAACTTATACGCAATGGCAAATCGAACATCGTACAAGAAATGTAGACGTGTGGAAGTTGTCGGCAAACGTTTGCGACAGCGCTATAATGAACTAAATGTGAGCGAGTAGGGAGGATTTGCTGAATTTAATAAAAGCTTATATTGCGTGGAAATGTTTTGAATCGAGTTTACTCGGGCCGGCTAATGGCAAATCGTGAGACGTCAAAACCCTCGAGAGCTATGTTTTCAGGTAGGTAATACTATTTCTAGACGTGTGTAACATGCAAATCATTCTATATTTCATTGTGCGCATTGATTTTATATTTTCTGTAGTAGAATACCGTATAATATCCGCCATCTTGGTTTCGTAAAATAAGTTCGTTGTGCTCATAAGAAATCGAATTAACCGTGATTTCTGGCCATGTGTGATAATATACTGTAAGAAAATACTGTCCAATGGCAGCTTAAGTTCTTATCTGAAACACAAATATGAAGAATAAAAGTAAGAGAAACAAGTCTAAACTGTTCAATAAGCACTGTACGAAAGCTAGCAATCAGTAGGCCATATCAAGTTAACACCACTTCTTCTGATTGTTGATATGTCGTCAGATTGAATCTCAACACTCGTGTCTATCATAACAATGCCAGGTGGGGCAATCAAGTTACTATTCGCAGGTGACACAGCAATGCAAAATGAATTCGCGCAGAATCGAAATTTTCTATCAACTACTTTGCTTGAATCAAGCCGATAAAGCCCCTCAACAACAATGTGGACGTCTCCGGTTTGGAACGTGTTCTTCTTGCAACCCAGGCAAGTGGGAGCTCTTCCTGCTTGTTTTGGAAATCTGGTGAGGACCCACCGAGGTGATGTTACATTTGAATGACTTCTTTGTGTTTGAGCTTTTGGGCTTCGAGGAGTAGAACTGGACGCCGATGGACGTGCTTCCATTGCTACTCGAATTAGGGCACTTCTTCGTTTCTAAAACTGGTCTGCCAAAGAAGTCTACTGTTGAAATCAACACCACACTTTTCGACTAGGATGAATATGCGATGCTTACATACGGTGCCTTTCTTTGCACTCGAATATGGAGAGTCACATTTCGGAACCTTGGAGATCTCTATTGTATAAAGAGATCCATCTGGTGACCGTAAATGGAAAGACGAGTTTGTTGGTGAAGGTAAAATTGTTCTTTCCACTTTATACTTTCCACGCATCACCTTAGCCAATTCCAGACTTTTCTGAAAGTCCTTACTTCCTTTTACTCTGGTTCTTGTAGGTGGTGTATCATTTCGATCTTTGGCTCCTTTTGATGGTCTGTGGCTGGCGTCTTCGTTCACCGAGTACGTTGTATTCTCTAAAGGTCGGGGGTCACCTATAGGTGGAATGTTATCTGCTACAAATTCATCAAGCTGCCTGATGTAGGATTCTGTTCGTCTTTTCTCCCGTGAGTACTCTTTTGCTTGTTGATCTGCAGTACTCGGTCCCGAACCTGCTTTAACAGCACCATCACCATATGCTTGTAACATCTGTGCTAGACGTAAGCTCTCCGAGATATCATAATAAGCAGCATCAACAAGGGAGAGGTTACATCCACCACAGTGCTCCATGGAAGCATGTGAGGCTTCAGTCAAGTTGACATTTGGTGCATTGTATAGCGGTCTGTATGCCTCGACAATGTGTGTGCGTCTGTTGTCCCACAATTTCAGCCATGTCATGAGGCTCAGTTTCCCACTCTCTTGAATGAATGAAGGTAGTCATGTCATCATATGCCTTCATATACTCTTCTGCCGTCACGGAAGACAACAAGTCATCGGCAAGCTCTTTGAAATCTTTCTGCTTCTCTTCGTCCCATTCGTTCCTATCAACTCGTCGGTTCCGACTTTGCTTGAAATGAAAGCTTTACCAAAAAGAATAAAGAAAGAGTGTACGGTATTAATAGTTACGAAGTCTGAAATTTCCGGGTTTAGGAACAAATGTCGGAGCGAAAACGAACAGTTGACAAACTAACGCCATTTTGGCGACATAAAGTACATTAATTAGACGGAAAAAAAGGCGGAAAACACATGGCCGCGTTGAAGGTGTTATTTATCGTTTTTATTAAATATTTGTTTTAATAAACTATGAAATGAGTGAATGTTTAGTGAACCAGCACGTAAATGTAGGTCTCGACTACATTTTTGGTCCTTTGACAGTCGGATTGTAGAATTTCAAGGGAAATTCGAGTAAATATCGAGGGGTAAAAATACGTAAATATTGGTTTTATATATTGTCCTATTGGACTTGTTGCATCATCGGCAAACAAGAAAATTTGGATTTTCATCGGAATTAAAGGAAATTCGACAATCGTAAGTACATTTTGGATTGTATTTGGTTGTATATTGTGAACATTAACGTGGGGAAAAATGAGTGATACAGAAACAACTGAGAACGAGGCTCAAGAGACGGTGGTAATAGTTATATCGGATTTCAAGAAGCAGAAACGAAATGCAAAATCGTTGTTGACACGTTTGTTAACACAGTTATCCTGTTTGTTGTCAGAGGAAAACCCTAATCGAGAGAATATATGCCATTTATTGGTTAAAATCGATGAACAGAAAGACATTTGTTTGGAGGTATTAGATAAGCTTGAGGAAGCATACCAGAAAAGTGGGGATAAACAAAACGCATTAAGAATAGGTGATGAATCGGACAAAATAGCTGAGCAAGTGGATGTTGAAACACATGCCTCACGTCAATTTTTGTTATCGTTAGTCAAGAAATCTGTGCATTTGAAAAACAATGTTGCTATGGCAACTGAATCTCAACCGACCAATACACAACAGCTGGCCCAGGAAATTATTACTACAGAAAATATGGGAACACCCTTGTTGGAAAATGATGGAGTACAAACTGAATCGAATAGCAGTTTGCCGCAAGAGACACATCAAGTAAACAGTAACATTGCACATGAACAATTATCAAGTGGAAACAACACTACATTTGTTGACAATGGAATTGGAACACAGTCGTCTGAGTCGTCCAGCAGCCAATCGGAATTAAACACGACTTCACAAAGTGGAAGTGCTCGCAGAGTGGATGGACATTTGGAGCGAATTCGAATTCCTATTTTTACAGGAGACAAAATAAAGTTTCAACAATGGAATGCCGCTTTTACTAGCTGTGTAGATAAAACGTCATTGAGTCCACAGTTCAAAATGCTTAGACTAGAATCTTGTTTAGGAGGAGAAGCAGCCGATACAGTTAGGGAACTTGGATACTCGCAAGAAGCTTACAATGCTGCAAGGGCTAGATTGGAGAGAAAGTATGGTGGTAGTCGGAGACAGGTTCAGAGTCATTTAGAAGAATTAAAAAAGTTGAAACCATTACAAGAGGAAAATGCCAGAGAATTGGAAATCTTTGCGGATGTTTTAGAGGGGGCTGTCATTTGCCTCAAAGAGAATGGTAGACAAGCGGATCTGGAAGCCGGAACTTTATACACCATTGTTCTTGAGAAGATCCCGGAGAAATTACTCTCC